GAAATTTACAAAATATCTTCATGGAACATGATCTTTACTTAATAATATCCTAATGATTTTTGGTATAAAAGAAAAATCTGTAATTTTGACCCATACAATGTATTTTTGACTATTGCTACAAATATACCCCAGCGACTTAAGACTGGTTTTGTGGTCCAGGGTCACATATAAGCTAGTGAGTGTGAAGTGCATTTTAAGAGACTTTAGCTGTATTGACAAAGCTGCTCATTTTCAAACTTCTTCATTTAAAGAAAATAGTAGTGGCAATGTATTAAAACAATTAAACTAAATAATTAAAATTAAATAATATAATTCCAGAAGTGTTATTCGGCACTTAGAATTTATATTTATATTAGATTTGCATGACTTTTTTAGCTGTTTGTGATTGCAGAGTTAGAAATAGAAAATAGAAATTTCTACCTAATAAAATATTTTAGCTTGCCATAATTAATATTATATATATATATATTTCCTTTGGAAATATCTAAGAATTTATTAGTTTTCAAGGCTTATCCAAGTATAGAAATCACACTTAAAACAAAAAACAAAACAAAGCACTGCATTATTAAGTACTCAAGGCCAGAGCAGCCCATATTTGCAGAAACAGCCTTAAGCAAACAGGTACATTTTGTCTTCGCCACACCAAATGATGAATGTTTAATATACGGTGAAAGTTACCTTGGCAGCGATAGTGGCCGGGGTCATCCTTGGCCTCTGGGGGTCTTCCGAATGCATCCCAGAATATCCCTGTGACTGAGGAGAGGTTTCTGCCTCCCGCAGCCTATCCAGAGGCTCCTTCCTCCTCTGAAGTGTGCTGGCTAGCGGCTGCTCACCAGAACCTACCTTGGACCAGTCCTGAGGAAGTAGACTCGGTTAATTCAGTTCAGTCTATAGCAATAGATTCAACGGTCTCAGGGGCGAGAGAGAAGACTGGCCCACGATCCAGCAGTTTGAGTGTCCTTTCAACAGATACTTTCTTATGTGTTTTAGAGAAAACCCAATCTCAGTGTTTGAATAAACTGATAGGTACCTTCCGTGGTCTGCTCGGTTTAGCAAATCTCACAGCCAGAGATTTGAAACCAGCTTCATGCAGCCAACAGAAAAGGTGTGTGTTAAAAAGCAAAATGAAGTAATGAATGAGGCTAAGCAGAATTAAATCAAATCAAAATCACTGTCAGTAAGTGTTATATTTAGGAGGCACATATTCAACACACACAAAAAGAAGAGGAAATAAACAAAACTGCAGTGAGAATTCCCAATGGAGACAAACCTTCCAGCAAGGAACCTTGGATGTGGGAGAGGGTGTGTTGGATCCAGGGGAGCGTTTATAGGGTGGGGATGCAGGAAGTATGACAGAGAAAGGCCTGATGGAGCCAGGAGTGTGATAGAGAGCAGGGCGGAAGGTAGCGAAGGACGAGCCAAACTGTGGAATGGAGAGATAAGACCGAGACCGTCAGAGTAGCAAGAGACCCCCTTCCCTTTACTCATGGGCATGGGAGCCTTTGTGTGTGGCTTTGCAGATACATGCTGAGAGTGGCAGGAAAGATCAGATCTGATGACAGCACAAAGACGAAACCGGCAAGAGAGACAGAGAAGACCCCAACCTGCCAATCAGCAGCACAACCCTCACGGGTCCCACAGACAATCCAAAACACTGACAAGCCAAAACAATCCATCACTGACAGTTTCAGCACATGTATGTCTTATGGACAGAGTACTTGATACTTACTGTGGTTGGAGAGCTACACTCACTAACTGACTGGCAGGTCTCAGATGCATCCGAGGACGCTGAACTTGATGACTTCTGTAAGAAAGACCATAAAAGATGGGGTATCAGCAGGGAAACATTTAGAGGGCCTTCGTCAACGTTTTATTATTTTTTTTAGATTTGTGGTACTGCTTGCAATAAATGGACACATCATAAATAGAAAAATCACATTTTAAATTAATAACAGTTTTAACCAAATGACTTCAACACCTTCAGCTTGGAAAATGTAGTGTTGCCAAGTGAATGTCCAGTGGAGAGGACAAGAGTGAGAGAAGAGTTTGGAGTCAGTAAAATGTATTAATTTATTTATTTTCTTTTTTGTTAGTTTGTTATAATAAGTGAATGCTCACCATGGATGCATTCAATTGATTAAATTGTTACAAAAAAAGTTTCAAATAAATGCTGTTCTTTACAAAAATAAAAATTAAAAAAAAAAGTCTCACATTTTACACAAAAAAAGCTATATTCAGCATTGAAAACAATATCTTTAACACCAAATATGCATATTAGAATTATTTCCAAAGGATCATGTGACATGACTGGAGTAATGGCTGGAATAAATAACAGTTTAAAATATATTAAAATTGAAAACTGTTATTTTAAATTTGATTAACATTTCATAATATTACTGTTTTACTGTATTTTTGATCAAAAGCATAATTTGAGAGCATACAAAACGTTAACTTTCAAAGACATTTAAAAATCTTACTGACCTTAAAATTTTGAAAGATAGTGTATTTTAATTATTACATGTACAAATAGATTTTTAATGTTGTTAAATGCAATGAAACACATAATCAAAAAACAAGTAAAGATTTTTAGTATTCCTAAAAGTTATGTGCCATTTAGCACTTTTTTCCATAGTTTTTTTTTTTTGTCATCTGCTGGTTGTTTTCATATCTACTGCATTATTTTAAAGGTGTGTTTTTTATGCTTTAAACATTATATATATATATATAGAGAGAGAGAGAGAGAGAGAGAGAGAGAGAGAGAGAGAGAGAGAGAGCATCTAGAAGTGTTATATACTTATGAAATGTAAGGCTAAATGTAAGTTACAGCATTTAAAATCAAAACTGACAGTGCCATTATTTCCAACACTTACGACTTAAAAGTACAACTAAAAAGATTCAAAGGGTTGTTCTTTTAACTACCATCTAAAAAATATATGCATTAATCATGAACACTGACTGCTGTTTCTGAATTTTCTATGCTAGTTTGACCCTCGATATGCTTATCCTTCAGTGTGTCACACACCTCAGCCATGTGTTTGGTAGATTCACAGCCAGGTAAAATCCCCTTTTCTTTCTATGGTCAGAGAGAGTAGCATGTGAGCTCCGAGACGAGTGCATGTCTCCTGCTTAACTCCAAAGAAAGTGCTTAAGAAAGCACCTCCTCTGTGTATATATTATAATGCCTGTGTTCCACATAAAATGCTTTAGAAGCAAATTTCAAGCACTGCTTCCTATCACAATTTTTCCACTCAAGAATTGTTTGACATACAGTGGTTTATATTTCTTGTCCACAAGAGGTCACTATAATCTTTCAGATGCAGCTAGGGAATGTTGCTTCATGTTTGAAGCTGGGACACAGATGTGCAATAACAGTTTTTTCCATCACAGGAATAAATTACATTTTAAAATATATTAAAATAGAAAACAGCTATTTAAATTGTAATAATTGTTCACAATATTACCGTTTTTTTTTTTCCTGTATGTCTGATCAAATAAATGCAGCCTTGCTGAGCATAAGACACTTCTTTCAAAAACATAAAAAAAAATTACCAACCCCAACCTTTTGAACAGTGCTGTATATAAATATCATAAATAAATATTTACAATCTATTAAAACAATGAAAAGAGTCTGTGAGGGATAGACTTACAGTCTTTACAATGCCACGCACTGTATAAATCTCCTAGATCACATAATTTTCACAACTTTCAGATCTGTTTTATGGAGTTTTTGTCTACTGCAGTTTTTTTTTTTTTTCATTGGCTTTTGTCAGCCGAACAATCGATATGTTGTTCAACAACAGTACATTCCATTGAATGCCAAGTTCTTCTATCCCTCACAACTTTGTTTTCATTCCTGTCAAAAAATAAGATCTGTTAGCGGGTGGGCCACGCTGCGGTAGCGACAGGACGAACTGGGTGAGTGAGTCTGAGAGCCACCAGAGGATCGAGAGGCGCTACTATGTGCGCTGTTTACACTGCTGCTGGGGCAAGGGAAAGTGCAACAGGACAGAGAACCGGGGGTGCAAGGGAGGGGTACGGTCATATATGGGCAGGTTATATGGCGATAAGTGTGAAACACACCCATTAGATTAGAATGAGCAGGCAAGGGTTTTACAGGATGACAGGAACATGGTTGACAGATGAAGGCAAGAAAAAAAATTATATGATAATAATTAAACATTTGAGGGGAAAAAAAGCAATGAAATTGTCAGTGAAAAAGAGATGGACAAACAAAGGTCTCAAGCAGTTATGAGGTTGATGGGTAAGGATGGAGGGCAGAGTGGGGGGCAGAGGGAGAACATATGTAAGACAAAGTTTGACAGGTGTGACACAGGGGGCCTAGTATGGAGATTGAAGGTTGTGTTCAGATGTGTCGGCCTTGCGCAGCCAACGCACTTGAAGCAACCCCCATGACTCCATGCGAGGCGGACAAACAGGTACTAAATGACACTATTAAAAAAGGAAGCTTTAATTGGCCCTGGAGCCAAAGCAAAATACTAATGGTCTAATCCAAAACTCTAGAGGGACTGGCTATGTAAAAGTGATCTTAAAATGCGTTCAATTTGTTTTGAAGCAATTATTTCATATTCCGGGTTAAAAACAGCACAGGAATATTAGACAGATTCTGTTGTTGAGGTTCTTAAATGGGGTTTAACCTGGAATATTAATTTAAGAGAGCAAAGCACTGAAGTTACATTAATCAGACACAACTTATTGCTAGTGAATTATAAAAGTAATAACATCATATTAAACTAGCTACTTTAGTCTACTTGTGTTAATTATAATTGTAGGTAATTGCTATGTGTCATCCTTGACTTCATCAAAATGAATCAATGGATGAATAACATGAATCAATAAGCATTAAACTGTGCCTGTTGAAAGCAAGGCTCTTACAGAATACAAAACAACATTTTCATGACCGCAGTGCTCTGTCTCTAATATGTTGTCGGGGTTGATGTCAACATACAGTGAGATTGTGTAGCGCAGCAGTAGCATTAGCAGCCCCCTCTTTCTCTGTACACACACACACTTGCATTCAAAATATACACACACTCACAAAATATACCCTGGCTGGAAAAACAACAGCTAGTAGCTAGTTTCTAAGTAGTTATTTAGTTTATGCAAGATGGCCATTGGCACTGGCATCCCCTTAAAGGTTTAGTTCACTCAAAAATTACAAATCTGTTATCATTTACTCACTCTCATGTCCTTCTAAACCCATAAGATCTGTGTCTCTTTTGAAGTCCATTCCACAAAAACCTTGACACTTCAAAAAGTTCATAAAGCGATCGTCACGCAAGCACATTTGATGTTCTCTATGTATGTGTGCTGATCAATGTTTATATGTGAATAAAAGGCTATATTAAATCTGTTCATCATAAAGCGATCATGTCTCTTCGGAAGACTTGGATTAAAGTGCTTGATTCATATGGATTACTTTTATGACGTTTTTTATAAACTTTTTTGAAGCATTACAGTTTTGGTGGAATGGACTTTCAATGGAGGAACAAAAATCACTCAGGTTTCATTGTGGTTCGAAGATGAATGAAAAGCCACTTTTCCACCAAAATTACCTGGAACAATTTGTCCCAGGAACTTTTTTTCCCCCAGACCTGTTGCTGTCTGTGTTTCTATCGCAGCCTAAAGTACCGTGAAGATTAGGCAAATAGTCTGGTGATGTAGTAGGACTGCACGCGACTGCTCCTCCCAGTCCAGGAGGGGGCGCTAATGTCGAACAACAATTGCGTCATAAAAAGCGACGGACAATCATAATTGTTTTGTCACCGTTTCCAGTTACCGCTGGATTTCATCCTCGGCACTGCACCAACGCCGCACCGCAACAGACTTAAAAATGGTGGTTGTAATACAATGCGGCATAGAGTCAACCAATCCAAATGCTGCGTGAACTCAACCAATCAGCATGTTCAGTGCCCAAGTCCCACCCCCAAAAGTTCTGGACCTTTGAAAACGTACTACCTTGTGAGCAGGGACTTTCTGAGGGGCAAATTTTTACCCGGAACTTTATTTAGATCCTGGTTCCTGCGGTGGAAACACACCGATTACCACCCCAAAGTCCCCAGTTCCTGGGGAAAGTTCCTGCGGTGGAAATAGACTTAAAGACTAATAGGTTTAAAATGACATGAGGGTGAGTAATTGATGACAGAATTGTTCATCTTTCGGCAAACTCTCCATTTATCATGGTATGACCAACTGGTATATCGTTTGTTTTTCGATCCAAGATGGTCTACAAGTTTAAACCAGCTTATGACTAGCTCAGACCAGCTTAAACCAATAAAATACCAGCTACCATGTCCCAAGACACAGCATAAGCTTTATTTTTATTTTTAAGTACGAGCTGCCATTTGGCAAATTATATTTTGTACTAAATTGTATTGTCGTTTTGCAACAAACAGCAATGTTCAAAGCAATTACAACAAAGAAAAGCCAAGCAACATAGTACACAGCACAAGCAACAAATCTATCCAGCAGAAAAAAAGGCTTATAACCAGAAATAAAGATTTGATAAGTGTGCTAACATTACTGGCAGCATAATGTCTCTATTTCTTTATCACTCTCGCTCTCACCTGCACATGCTGCTTTTCCTGGAGCCGGAGCTGCTGGGAGAAGAGGGGGGAGTCTGGTAGGACCAAGAGTAATCTGAACCCTTAAGGTCTTTTATTACCTGAAAGAAAGAGACACAGAGAGGCAGTCTTAGTGTTAATGGCCTTTTTTTCTGCAAAGCACTGTACATAAATGGTGACTGGAGTACATAAGAAGGATGTGCACCTGCTCACTGGCTGGGGGCAGTTTGTGGGGGTCTGAGGTTAACACGGTAAGGTCATCAATAATGGCCTGGAGATGAGTGATCTCTCCCAACATGGCAATCTCTCCATTCTAACAACACACGAGGACAAAACCACAAGTTCATAGATCAGATTTTAACATCACATAATGTCATTTAAATGTCAGACAGTAACATATTCTAAGAGCATAATTTTTGCTTTAAATCTTAAGACAGGTTCCTCATTACCACTACTATATACAGTATGACGAACACAATTTTGATGAAACATTTCCTCTTTACTTTTAAAAACATACATCTGGATTGGAGAGTGAATGAACTGCATAAAGTGTCCAGCATACACTACCGTTCAAAAAAATGTAAATAAAAAAATTGAACTTTCTATTCATCAGAGAATATATATACATACATGATAATTGTAACGCCCCTGTAGACTGTTTGTTGTGGTTTCTTCCCTTTGTGTTGGTTTAGCCCGTCTAATCATTAGTTAATCACCGTCATTGTGCTCACCTGTCTGCCTCTAATTATTCACCCCATATTAGTTCCTGTCTGTCTGTCTGTTACCCCGAGTGTGTGTCTCACCTACCTGAACCTGCCTTGTTGTGTCTACAATAAATGTCATTATTGGAATCCTTGTCGTCCTCGTCGTCCTGCCTGCCTCCACACACCCGATTCCGTGACAATAATAAGAAATTGTTCTTGAGCATCAAATTGTTGAACAAATGTTTGAATAAATTGTTATTATTAATTACAGATCTTCTTTATGCACCAAGAGCTTGTAACACTCCAAAGAGAAAGGAAAAATTGAAATCGCATCATATGACCCCTTTAAGTAAAGATAATGTTCCATGAAGAACATGATAGTTGTATCTTGGCCAAATATTGTCCTATCCTAACAAACCACACATCAATGGAAAGCTTATTTATATGTATATCATATATCTCACTGGTTTTGTGGTCCAGGGTCACAAATAAAATATATTAATAGAAATACAAACAGTTATTTTAAATTTGAATGATATTTCACAATGTTGCTGTTTTTGCTGTGTTTTTGATCAAATAAATGCAGGCTTGCTGGGCATAAGAGACTTAATTGACACTTTAACTGGTGTCCTTGTTACAGAGTAATGTGTAAGGGCTGAGCAGCTGTACAGTTCACATAAGTGATGTTGAATGAGGTGGGCTGTACCACTACAGGCTGCAGGAAGCTGATGAAGGTACAAAAGCGTCCTCTCTCCTCCACTAGAGCACGCCGCACCGCCTGCTTCTCTGTCTCCTCCATCAGCAGGTACATGTCATTCACATCCTGCATTGCGCTGTCCAGCTGTGGCTGAAGGTCCCCCCGGCCTAAAGGGGGCGACAGAGAGCATAACAGAAAAGAAGGGGGAAAAGGCAGAGGGATTAAATAAGGTGGAGAATGGACAGAATGAAAAAAAATGGCCAAAGAATGAGACAAAACAGAAGGTCGAATGGAAGAATTAGAAGATTACAAAGGACAATCAGAAGAAAAAAATGAAAGGAGGCAGAACACAAGAGAAGATACTGCATTAGATGAGAATCATTCTCTCTTCCAGCCTCCAACAATATGGACGTAATGTGAACACAGGACAAAACGAACTATTCCGACTAGCACCTACACAACAAACGTAGACAGACGATTCTGAACTCTGCGGTCGAACATCTTCTACTCTTAATGAAACACATGGAACCTCCCAGAGGAAGTTTAAAGGTTAACTCATGCAGACTAGATTGTTAGAAATGGTCGTGACCTTTGCTGGGGATTGAAGCAAAGTCAGCTATCCGCAGTAGAACTGCTTCCAGGAATACAAGCAGCATGCATGCTGGGACGGCATTAGCAAAATCATGCACAAAGCAAACCCTCAGGTGTTATAATGGGAGAAAAGAGAAAGTCTGTGATCTTAAATCACTCGTTGTAAGCTGTCAAGCCAAAATGTCATGTGGGGGTTAAATCCGATGACCACAGAACTGTCTGCAGACGTGTTAAAGGGCCATGCAGAGTGACGAGTGAGAAAAATCAAAGTGAGCCACAGATTGGCGTGAAAAAAAAAACATACTTACCCTGTAGCTCTATAGAGGGAGAGTAGATAAAAAAGAGAGAGAACACAATGTGGGGGGAATCCAAGAGAGAGTAAAGAATAGAGAGATACAGAGAAACAGAGGAGGGAGAGCACTGTGTTAGGGTTAGTATTAGAAAGCAATTCAGCTCATTTCATGGCCAAATTGTTTCAGAAAAGCCAAACCACCACAGCAAATCTGAACAAAACCAAATTAAAAAATCTGCCGAAAATGTACGATTTAATGCGCAATGGACCCAAAATAAAATCAAATATGTAATCTTATCAAACTGAATGGTCTTATAAGGAACGAGATGCCTGACTTAAAATAAATAGGCAGCTTTTCCTTTAACACTGGAGTCTTCCTAGTAACACACAGGATTGTCATCCTATCTTCAAAAACAGGAATTATTGGCTGCTGGGATATGAACATGAACTGCTTAGCAAATGAGGTGAGAGTTGCACTTCTGCGCTTCAGCCAGCAGAGGGGGTTGCTTACATTGCAGAGGATTGTTTGCCTCATATGAAGGGATCAGTAATTTCACCAAGCACATTGTGCACTCAACAGTCTATGCAGCTTTAACAACACTTCCGAGATTCAACCATCCATTGCCGACCATGAGAGCCACTAAAACGCATTCAACACTGATGGCATACGAACAGCAGATTGTTCTAAACGTCAAATAAAACAGCCAGTTTTGACCTTGAGGAAATGTCCTTGACTTATCCCCAACTCATTTCTGCTTTGTAATACGACAATATTATGTAATATTGATCCATTACTTTCACTGACATTAAAACACTTGTATGCTAGTATATGTGACACTGGACCACAAAACCAGTCATAAGGGTAATTTTTATTTAAATTGAGATTTATACATCATCTGACAGCTGAATAAATAAGCTTTCCATTGATGTATGGCTTGTTAGGATAGGGTAATATTTTGCCGAGATACAACTATTTGAAAATCTGGAGAATCTTGGAAAAAAAATCAAAATACTGAGAAAATCGCCTTTAAAGTTGTCCAACTGAAGTTTTTAGCAATGCATATTACTAATCAAAAATAAAGTTTTGATATATTTACGGTAGGAAATGTACAAAATATCTTCATGGAACATGATCTTTACTTAATATCTTAATGATTTCTGACATAAAAGAAAAATCGATAATTTTGACCCATAAAATGTTTGTTTTTTTGCCATTGCTACAAATATACCCCAGCGACTTAAGACTGGTTTTATGGTCCAGGGTCACATATGTGTTGTTTGTGATCCTATTTCACAGAATAAATTGCCCAAATTTGTTGTGATGCTTAACATTTCATAGTAATATTGTGAATATATTGTGTTACCTTTCCTGGCTTTCTTCTGTAATTTCAAGGTGTCTGAAGATTTCTTCTTTATTTCATGACGAGACCGTTTGTACTCTGTAAAAAACAAAATGTATGAAAATTTAGTAGCACTTTATGTTCCGTGTGTACATACTATGTACTTATTATAGCAATAACTGGGTAATAACTAGGTACTAGCTCTGAACCTACCCCTAAACCTAACCTTAACCCATGTAGCTATACCGTATACTAACCAGTACTTTCATGGGTAAGTACACTGTAAGTACATGTACTATAAAATAAAGAGTAACCAAAAATTTGTATGCTGTCTACTTTGTAAGGACTGACATATGGACAAAAAGGTGCTTAGTCACCTTTGGCATGGTCCTTGTCCAGTTGATTGGCTGTCTTCTTCCAGTCTTCAATACGGTCCTGTAGAGGAGTGATCAGGCTCTCCATCAAAGCACTGAAAGCAATGAAGAGAGGATCATGTTCTCAACCGTTCACAGCTGAGTCAGAGGTTCTCATTCAATTACAAAGCAATATGAACATTCACAAGGAAATATCATCAACCCTGTGGGGGTTCAGACCATGAGAAATGAAGGCTTTGGTTTAAAGTGTGGCTTAGAGTCTAAGGCATCCATTCATTAGACTGTCGGAGGGAATTGTCAGCAGATGTCCTTTAATGAAGTGTAAAAAGTGTGTGTATTTGTGTTCTCTTGTCTTGCCAGTGTCATCAGACTCTGAGAGTGAGTCTTCGATTATAGTGTGTTGTGATGGTCACATTTGTGCACATGCCAGAGCTCAGTGTCAAACAAATAAAACACATACAAAATTCTTGTGTTGAGTATAATCATAGGTATACATGTATTTGTGTTATATATAGGCTTCTAAACTATGACACACAGGAAGTAGATGACAGGAGAAGTGTGGTCGTACTTAGTAAAATGGCGTAGTTTAGCCTCAATGCTGCGATGCCTCATACACATGCGGGTCAGAGCTGATCCGATGTCTCTGGTAGCACCTACAGGAGACACAAATGGCGAAAAAACTGTCAGAACATCACTGAAATTACACATAGGAAACACTATGTGTACAGTTCAATGACCAAAACCAGCATGGTAAAAACAACGGCTGCAGCTCAGAATGTTGTAAGCTGAACTTTAATCACTAGCGTTTTAAAGACCATCAAGTGTACAACCTCTAGTCATTCAAATATTAATTATTAACATGGATCAGTAATTTGTACTTGCTTCAGTCCAAATAAAGTGGTTTAATTTAAAAGACTCCCTAAAGTGTGCATGTAACCTGTAACCACAGTGTAAATGAGGCTATTTTTAGTAGCAGGTTGGAAAAAAAAACCTTTGGAAAATCCTGACCCCAGTATTTATAAGAGGCAGTGTGCTTTCTTCCAAAGAAGGTGGCCCAGACAGCTATTATTTCTTGAAGTGTTTACATGTCAAACTGAATTGTTGAACTGAGAAGTCTGTAAGTGTTGCCTGGAACCGCACCAGCTCTTTAGATTTAACTGTACCATGACCTTCAATATAAGAAACAACTGATTATTTATTACAATCTAAAAACGCTGTGTATCTCATATGACTGTGAAAATTTGACTGGCAAACTATCTCAACGTCATGTTTAAATTTGTCATTATAATAAACATTAAAAGTTTATGCTTCCTTATCACCAGAATTGCTGCAGGGGGTGATTTACCTATCTCTTCTCAGCATTAGTACTTTCATCTTTTTCACAGGTCGATGAAAATTTACATTCCAGCATTAAATCCTGGTCTGTGCTGACCTCAGATTTCCAGTAGATCTCAGGTCTCCAAACCAGGGACTGAGTTTCAGCCAGATTCCGTAATCTAAGCCTTACAGAGTTGGCCTAGGCCCATGTCAAAGAGGCACACACCCTAAAAACAACAACCCTGACCCTCAAAAGGTAATGTGCCTTAAACATTGGGTTGAAGACCAAACTATTTTTACCATGTATGGAAAATTATATACACATATTTATATCTTACTGGTATTTATTCTGTATAATCCCTTTAACCCGAATTTATGTTACATAACACCCAGAGGTAATTGTAAGTACTTTTATTACTTTCATTGCTCTTTTAAGACACTAATTTGGATCTAATTTGTTTCTTAAGTGTCCACATTGTCACAGCTCTTTCTGCAATACAATTTCTGAGGAGAGATTTAAAAAAAAGACCAAAGTGAGGCTTGAATTTAATTGTACACAACTGAGAGTAGAGGATTATACATTGAATGTTAATACCATAGCTCACATTGGAAGAATATGATGAGAAACATTTGAGTTTTTATTGAAATTTCTGACTTTTATTGCAGATGTTAGTGTCTTGACAAACATGAGCATAGTTTGAGACATTGTTGAGATCATTTGACACTCTAGAGGAGACATGTGAGATCACAATTCTACATTTGAAGACTGCAGATGCAAAAGCCTCTAAGTGCCATCTGAAATTTTCATCTAAAATGTAGCATTTTTATCAGGCTCCTATATTTTTGTTCAGTTATTTCACTTTAATGGCATAGAAAAGGACCTATACATTGCCATTAAAGTGAAATTACTGAACCTAAATATAGCAGCCTGATAAAAATTCAGACGGCACTTCCCTGTTGAAAAAAAACAGCATATGCTGGTTAGGTATGTTTTGACGCTGGGATGCTGGTTTAAGCTGGTCCTTTGCTGGTTTAAACTGGCCCTTTGCTGGTTTATGCTGGTCATGTGCTGGCAAAGGACCAGCATAAACCAGCAAAGGACCAGCTTAAACCAGCAAAGGGCCAGTTTAAACCAGCAAAGGACCAGC